TCTATACCCGCATCTGTACACTAAGCCCCCGAGTTTACACCCCCCATGCCCACTTCCATCTACAGCAGTGTCTATACCCGCATCTGTACACTAAGCCCCCGAGTTTACACCCGCACGTCCAGTTCTACCCAGCAGCACAGGCTCACTCGACTTTACTCCATCGTTTTCTTTTTTTTTTTTTTATTGTACTTAAGACGACGGTTTACAGAACCAGCTTCTCATTAAACGATCAGTACACACATGGCTTTGTGACCCTGGTTACCAACCCCACGACATGTCAACACTCTCCTTCTCGACCCTGGGCTCCCTGTTATGCTCCATCATTTCTGACTCCTTCCCGACACTAGGAACCTGGTGCCTCAGAGCCTCGATTTACCTTTTCATTTGTCTCTGGAGCTAAGCTCCCATCTGTCTCCACCAGCAGCCATGCCCCCTATATCCTACTCACCCTGCTCGGGTTAGAGCTCCACACCAAGCTTCTGGAGCCTCCCTCTGCTCCCTCACCCACGTGGGCTCCAACGCCACCCTGGGCACTGCAGCGCCCTGCCTTGCTTCCCCACCTGACACCTCTGGGAGAGAACTGTCTGGGAAGGGAAGGTCCCCAGCAAACCTTCTGAAGTATGACCACTTTGCTCCTGCTTGGCTAACAGCCATCCCCAGTGGCCCTTCCTGCCACTCCCCTTCCCGATGAGCGACCCCCTTCCCATGGCGAGGCACAAACCAGAGCCCAGTGCAGATGTTCTGGAGGTTCAGAAGGTGAGAGAACAGTAAGCGAAGCCATGTCTACTGTCCACACTACAAATCATGGTGAACTTAGAATAACACTGAGGTATAAAATCACAAGGAGGAATTCTGTGTTAGTTCACGTACGAATCGTTGGTCTGCACGTCTGGTGTGTGTGAAACACACCTCCCTGAGCTGAGGACCGGGGGACCACGCTCGCAGAGGCCGCAACATGGGGGGCCACGCTCTCCAGGCAGCCACCGCTGTGTGGAGAGGCCCGGGGTGGGGCCTGGGAGTGCGCCTCTTCCTCCGCAGCACACGCCCTCCACGAGCGCAGGCTCAGCGCTTACCGAAACGAACCTCCCCCAGGCTCCTTGAGCTTATTCTTCTGTGTGGCCGCTGCTTGTGCGGAGATGGTGGAAAGAGCTTTGGTTCCAGGTAACACAGCAGGTTTGACCACAGGGACTGCAAAAGCCGAGACACAGGGAGACCGTTGGAGGCGAAACCAGAGGGGCTGCTTGCACTGTACCTGAGGAGGCCGAGGGAAAGCGACTGCCTCCTGACTGGCCACCATGATGCTTTTAAAGCCTCCCGGTTAACAACTCTCCAAACGGCAGAAGTCTAGGCCGCCCCTCCCACGCTCCCACCCCCCTGGTTTCGTCCCACGCCGTCAGGACGGAACGGCCTCCTCACCTGGCTGCAGGGGGTTGAGCTGGATCTGCTGCGGCGTGGTGAGCATGATGCGGTTGTGTGGCTGCCGCAGGGCAACCATGGGCGTCTGCGTCAGCGTCACCTGGGGAGGGCGCATGAGGGTTCCTGGCTTCTGAGGCTGCTGGATCACCTGGCGGCAGAGGCAGCAAGACACAGTGAACGCCCTCCCCCAGCCAGGCGGCGGTGCTCTCTCCCATCACCCCATCCTCATATTCCACGCCGGGTGCCACTAAGTAAATGGACTTTCGGGTGACTCTGCTGCTGGCAGGCTACACTCCGGGCCTGTGGTCGGCTGCCCGAGGACACGGGTCAGCAAACCCGAGTGTCTGCTGAGCTCAGGGCTCCAGAGCAGGGAGACCGCTTCTCCCTAAACATCAGAAGAGGTTAGTGGCGGTGCCTGGTGGCTAAAGGTCAAGTTTCTTTTCCAAATTTTCTATAAAAAGGCTGGAAGACATTTATGCTAGATTTCTAAGGTCATCCCTGAATTTGGCCCTCAAGGTCTCTATCAATTGGCCCCAACCCTCCAAGAGGCTACGCCCAGGCAAAGCCCCCAATCCCCAGGCACCAAGCCCCTCCCCGGCTGTGCACAGGCCGCCCCCCACCTGGGGCATGCCCAGCACTAGAACGCTCTCCTCCCTCCACTCCGGCTCATGGGGCCATCTGTGTGGCCACCCACCTCCTCTGCGTTGGCCTAGCTCCCCTGCCCAGGCACACGGAGGGGACACTCAGAGCCGTGGTGAGCGAGTGCCTCCTGCACTCCACTCTACAACCTGTCGACAGGGGACACGCGGCCCCCCTCGTTTTACTAAGCTGTCTTTAGAGGGGCAAACCAAAGAAAAAACCAAACCTGCTGCCATCGAGTCAATTCCAACTCACAGCAACCCTACAGGACAGAGTAGAACTGCCCCATAGGGTTTCCAAGGAGATTCGAACTGCCAACCTTTAGGTTAGCAGCCATAGCTCTTAACCACTGCACCACCAGGGTTTCCCAGAGGAGCAAAGCCCCCTTGAAATGTAAGGAAGACACTGGGCTGCCTTCTCCATGCAGCCCGTCAGCCTCCAGAGCGCGTGGAAATGCAGCTCTTCCCATAAAGCTGTCCTCTCTGACGGAGACTGCGACAGGACTGGGCCGTACGCACGTCAACTACTTCTGGCCTGAGCTCCTGTCCTGAGACTCACCTAGACCCAAACGCCTGGTGCAGAGCTGGGCCATCAATGCCAGCCAAGGGCTCGGCCAACCTCCTGCCCCGACAGATCAGACACCAGGGATGCCGTCTGCTGGCCTGTACTTGGACCTTTGCTCCTAATCAAAGATGGCACCCTTCTAGAAGTCACCAGCAGTCCCAGGGTGCAAACAGTGGAGACGCTCGGCTGCTAACCAAAAGGTTGGAGGTCCAAGTCCACCCAGGGCACCTTGGAAGAAAGGCCTGGCAATCTACTTCCAAAAACTCAGCCACGGAAACCCTATGGAGAACAGTGCTTCTCTGACACACGTGAGGCCTCCATGAGTTGGAAGTGACTCAACAGCAGCAGTGAGAACATGACTAACACGTATTGTGTTCACTTAAACCAGCACTGCCCAAATGACAGCAGGTACTGGTGTGCCAGCAGTGAAGAGCCAGGACACCGAGACATAAGAGCACGGGGCTCGGCCTCGCAAAGTTTACGGTCTAACTACTTCAGATAGCGTGCTAGCCCCTCCTGGCGGGCGTCTCTGGCGTGTGTGGAAGGTCTCCGTGAGCTGTGGCCGCATGAGAGGCCAGAGGAGGCGTGGGCAGGTCCCCAGGCCGGGCGGGGGAGGCTGTCGCCTTCCATACCAGCGATGTGGGCTGCCCCTGCTTGCCAACGCCAACCTGTGTGGGCTGCGTGAGGCTGATGACAGGGGGCTGGAGGGCGCTGGTCACGGTGGCCGCCGTCTTCCCGGCCGTGCGCTGGACGGAGCTGCTCAGCACCACCGCCGTGAGCGCTGTGGTGGCCTGTGCGGCGGGTGGCGGCTGTTGCTGGCTCTGCTGGATGAAGGCTGCGGAGTCAGGGGTCAGCTGTCTCAAGGCGGGTAAGCTCCTCTGGGTGGGAAGACAGACAGACAGGGTGGATGGCGGCTCTAGCACCGTGTTCCTTCTTCACAATGTGGAAACATCAGACTTTTAGAAAACAGTCTCGCGCTAAATAGACTTTAGACACGTTAACAAAACGTGTCAGGACGTTAGGTGTCAGCACCCACCATCACCCTCTCCTCTACGTGGCTCAGCAGGAGGCAGGGCTACTCTTATTGAGAACTGCTTGAAGTTTGTTAAAAACCAGCAATCACAAAAAAAAAACAGCGTTTTTTAAATGCTCTTAAAAATGTTACTAGAGTCTCTGGTTGGTGCAAACGGCTAAGCACTTAGCTACTAACTGAAAGACTGATGGTTTGAGTCCCCCAGAGGCCCCAGGAGAAAGGCCCGGTGGTCTAGTCACCAAAACCTGAGCTACTGGAAACCCTGTGGAGCACAGTTTTATTCTGACACACATGGGGTCGCCATGAGTTGGCACCAACTCAATGGCAAACAGTTTAAAAACGTATTGTGTTTCAATAAAGCTGTTATATTAAGAAGTCAAAACGTTATGACAGCAATAATTATCTCAAGAATCTGATGCTATTTATTCTCGGTCCTATGGGGTGAACACAACCCCCTTCGATCTCATACTTACCGTATTTTTACACAAATAACACACGCCCTCCGCGTCTGTCTGCCAGCCGAGCCCTCCCCCCGTGAGGCACCCTCACAAGCACCACCATGACAGTCCTCTTCCACGTGTTGCAAAAAAAAAAAAAATAGCATAGCACGCTTATGAAAATACCTTGTAGAGGGAGAGCAAGGCCAGCAAACAAACGCAGAAGGCGCGCGTTATTTGGGTGAAAATACGGTAAATGACCACGACTGCTCACTCAGCAGCAACAAAGCAGATTCCGCCTGTTGTTTAAGAGCACCCTCCTCGTCCCTCCAGTCACACAGAGCAGAAGGCATTCTAAGCACTTACAAAAAGCCTATTCTTAATAGAAAACTTAACATTTTGTTACGGAGGTGCTTCTGACTTTAAATCTAGAACACCACCGCAATCTGGCACATCAACAGCAATGGGAGAGCCCAGCTCTTCCCCCCATCATGAGCCCAGCTACCCCTGCTTGCAGACACTTGTAACAAATGAGAAGCAAGGACTCCAGAGTCTTTAGAATTACCTTCAGGAAAGGCACAAGGTAAGGTTGAGGTGAAGAATTAAGTTCTCGGTATAACCTACTAGTAAAATCTTCTGCTTCGATTTTTCCATCCTTAAAAACAAAATTCACATTAAAATTCCTGGATGAGTAGAATGTAATACACACGTTTCCATGCTCAGCACAACCCTGGCCCTGGGCTTCAGGTGGACGTCCTCTCACTGGGGTATGCCCTGCACAGAGGTGGGCGGGAGCCAGGTGCACGGCGCGTTCCCACAGACGCCGACTCCCGGGTCCCACAGCCCTTCCAGGCATCACTAAGGAGGAAGCGGAAGACCTGCCTCTGTGTAGGTGGTTTATGAGTCTACTTCTTGTCTCTTCTGTGAGTGTCTTATTCAACCTGGTTCTCAACGACTCAACATTTACCCACCGTCGACCACGGGCCAGGCAACTAGTGAGGAGGTAGATGTGTCTGAGAGAAACTCCATGACCACAGTCTGTGCTGTGGGCGCAGAGAACACAGAAAGGTGGGTGGCCCAGTTGGGAGACCAAGGCCGTCCCAGGAGGTGACTGAGCCAAACTGGTCAGACACAGGCGCCACTCCAGAGCAGCGAGGGCTCGACGGGTGCCCCCGCAGAAAGGAACGAGGTGCCCAGCGTGAGAGAGGGCGCAGCTCTGCTCTGGAAACCGAGAAGCTTGGCATAAAGGCAGGGAGGCAACAGAGGAGGCAGGAGCTAGAGCACCAGACCGCTGTGCTGGTCGCTCGGACTGGATCCTGAGAGGAGGGTGTCTCATAGAGTCACCATGTGGCAGGGGTCGGGGGGGACGGGGAGGATGGGGGAGACGGGGGGACAGGGGAGGACGGGCAGATGGGGGGGAGGGGGGATGGGGGGGTGGGGAAGGACGGAGACAAGGGGATAGGGAAGGGGATGGGGGAGAACGGGGACAGGGCGAACAAGATGGCCTCTGAACGTGTCGTCGTTGGAGCTTGGAGATGAGTGCACAGAACTTTGTTATACTGCCCTCTTCATTTCTGTATCTGTTTAAATTCTCCATTTAAAAAGCAGGTGACCACAACTCCCACGGCCTCCACCAGACTGAGTCCAGTACAGCTAGACGGTGCCCAGCTCCCACCACTGACTACTCTGACAGGGATCACAACAGAGGGTCCCGGACAGAGCTGGAGAAAATGTAGAACAAAATTCAAACTCACAAAAAAAGACCAGACTTACTGGCCTGACAGAGACTGCAGAAACCCCGAGAGTGTGGCCCCCAGACACCCTTTTAGCTCAGTAATGAAGTCGCTCCTGAAGTTCACCGTTCAGCCAAAGATTAGATAGCCCCATAAAACAAAACAAGACTAATGGGGCACAACAGTCCAGGGACAAGGACTAGAAGGCAGGAGGGGACAGGAAAGCTGGTAATAGGGAACCCAAGGTCGAGAAGAGAGAGCATTGACATGTCGTGGGGTTGGTAACCAATGTCACAAAATAATACGTGTACTGTTTAATGAGAAGCTAGTTTGTTCTATAAACCTTCATCCAAAGTACAATTAAAAAAAAAAAAAAACAGGTAAAACAAACGGGGGGGGAGAGAAACCCTTGAAAAGTCTGTCGGACGTATCAGACACATTTAAAACCGGCTTCTGTGCAGCCAACGTGAAATCCCAGCGGCAGTATTTGACACTAGAAGGCAGCTCTGTGAAACGCCCTCTCAGATGCGGCGCAAACTCGCTCATGGGGACTCTCAAGCACACGCGTGTCCCAAAGAGCGCCGGGCTCCGAGCCGGGCGCAGCAGGACACCCACATTCAGGGACGAGGGTCCCGGCTGGGCCACCACAACCGCTAGTGGACACTCCTACCTGCCCTGCAGAGGCCCTGGCTGCAGCGGCTACAGTCACGTGTCAGAGGCAAAACGCCACCGGCGAGGGACAAACGGCGTACAAGCTCCTTACCAGTAAATTCTGCACGAGTTCTTTCACGTTGGCCGCCGTCTCCGTGGACTGCTTGCCGGACGAAGCCAGCTTTATCAACGTCGACAGAAAATTTTTACATTTCTTCACGTTTTCCATAGTTTCCTGGGGTAAATCGAAAGACACGCTTAAGAGTCTTGAAAGCAGGATTTCACGGTCACTTTTGATCCAACTAAGATGTGTGTACATATGTAAGCTAAGTACAGATCTACTCTAAACGTCCTTCAAGAACACACACTGGCTCTCAGCTGATGGCATCCACGCTGCAACCGCCTCCCCGGAGGGCAGCCTGACCCGCGAACCACGGGCTGTGCCTCCGCTCACACCCCAAGCGAGCCCAGCACCCCACTTTCAGGGCTGCGGACTACCTGAGTGATCACAGGCGTGGATCCACAAAGACACTCATCACAATGCTGTTATCATAAGGAAAAAATGGCACCTAGCTAAATGCACAGAAGTCTAATTACGATACAATTCCTAAAAACGATGCAAAATACCTAGCAAAAAAACATTAAAAAAGTTACAAATAAATTAGGATCCCGTTTTGTTTAAAACTTTATATGTGTGTAGAAAAATACCGGAAACACAAATTAAAAAGACGAGATTGCGGTTTCATAGACGGCAAGGTTTGTACAGTACACGTGTTACTTTCTAACAACGTGGTCGCTTGGGCTTTTACGACTTCAAACTTCTCGGCAGGAACCGAGGCCTCGTCACTGTCCACGCAGGGGCCACAGCAATTCAATGCCGCCTCCTTTGAGGAAGAGCCTACATTCCAACAAGTTCACACTCTGCGGCTGCCAACAAGCGCAGGAGTGAAACCTTCCCACGAGGCGGTCGGGGGGGTGTTACCGCAGGCCCAGCTCGCGTTGGCCTCCGCTCAACTCGTTTTCTGACCAGCAAGCGCTGGGCCTGGCCGGGTGGCCTCGGCTCCCCGAGGCAGTCACAAGAGGAGGGAGGCTCTTACCGTGGCAGCTGTGGAGGTGGTGGCTGCGCCCGGGACCGTCCGCTGAGGTGTTCCTGTCTGCACTGTCGCCGTCCCTAGTGACGCTGTCTGGGCAGTGCCTCCCAGGACAAGCTGAGGCTGCAAGAATCCAGAACGCCAGGTCAACGCACCTCCTGCCACAGACAGCAAGGTGGGGACCAGCCTTCCTGCAGCAGGTGGCAGGTCACACAAGGGCCACCAGATACTGCACTGCAGCGTCAGAGCCTGCCACTGTGTGGCCCAGACGCCCTGCGTCCTGCCGCTGTGTGGCCCAGACGCCCTGCGTCCTGCCGCTGTGTGGCCCAGACGCCCTGCGTCCTGCCGCT